TGAATAACTTTATTTTTATGTGGTGACACTAAAAATACATGGTAACATATATTACTTACAAAATCATCATGTAGCAATTGTCGAACTTGTTAATGTTAACTATAAAGCTTAATCAACTGCATCATAGCTATGCGAAGAAAAATTAATTAATCAGTCTTCATGCATGGGGTGTACACAACCAACTTCAGCGTGTTACTCAATTGAAAGAAAGAAATAAAGAAAAGACTCAAACATAACCTAGAAAGCAAAAAAATCAAAAAATTTAGTAAAAAAGCATCATTATTTCATCATCACGTGAAATAATGAATATCAGCAATGGATTTCTATATAGTTACTGGATTATGGATCTAAATTTAAGTTAAAAGGTCCAATCCATATCAAATACAAAAAAAAAAAAAAAAAAAAAATTAATAAAAAAATTATCGAATTCTTCTTCTACATTATGCAGATGAAAAGTATAAAGGAGGCTGGAGGACGCTGAAGAATCGCCTCATGAAGAGCTTCAACATAAAGGCGATCTCACACAGTGCATACTCTAAAATCTTTACAGAAAAATTTTGGAGTAGTTTTTAGACCTTGAAACGATGGAGGAGTTGGTGGAAAGTGCAGCATTTCCTATCAACAAATCGCAAGAAGTGCAGATATTTTTAGAAGGAAATCTTGCTCTTCCAAAAAAAAAAAATAAATAAAAATTTCTAGGTTTTGTAAATTTATTAATCATGGCAGAAGTTAAAAATGAAATTGTTAAACTACAGAAACGAGAATGAAGGAAGAGTATATACATATTATATATATTTGTCAGATAAGTTGTGTATTAGGGATTATTGAATTAGAAAGGCATAGTGAATTTTTTTTTATATCACAAACTAGTACTTTATATTATTTAACTTACTTTATTGTTTTTCACAGATGAATACTTATTTAATTTTTACATTACATTGTAAAAGATAATTCGTATCTTTATTTATTCATTCTACTTTTTCCTTAAATAAATTTATATGGATTCACAATTTACGTGAAAATTGTTACATTAAATTGGGTTTTAGCTACAATAATTTTTTAAAATATCAGGAAGCGCTTCTGCTGTCGATACTTCGCAAAAAAATTTTCTTGCTTAACGCAGCGCAATACAATTTCTTGTTTTCGTATACGGTTGCGCTCTAAGAGAGAACATTTTTTTTAGGGAGTCGAATTTAGTGATCAATATAATCTCCACATTCATTCCAACTTTTTTCTAAGTTTTCGCTGCCTTTTTTGTAAAACAATTTTTCTTTGCTCTTAAAATAGGACTCCGTTTTGGCATTTACTCCTTCATTTGAGACAAATTTCTTCAGCGGGGTCCTCCTTTTATGCATCGGAATCACGGGTGCCATAACTTTGTCGGCGGACTTTTGAGTTGCTGCTCGGTTCGAACGATTTTCAACGGCTGCTGTTCACATAACTTGAAATATTTCTGATTTATCTATGCAATAGTTGATCCATGTTGCTTTCATTGTCGTGTACCAACGCAAGAAATATTATCTATCCCGCTTGAATAGTTCTAAAAAGTACTCTTGATTCTCGTCACGTTGGTGGTTTTGTCCGGTTTGCGCAAACGCGCCATTCACTTCCAGCAGAGCTTTTTTGTTGACAAAGTGGTAAATACTCTACATTCAGGAATTTTCAATTATTTCATGCAGCTTCACTTTTTTCCAAAACGATTCTGTACACTTTTTCAATGTTTTATGAAACAACTGCCGATTTTAGAAACCCGAGGGGAGTTTAGAATTATCGGTGTTTGTACGATTGAATGAAGAGTCTCCGTAACGCTTATCAAGTGAATGTTTGGCTTCAACAGTATTATTTCTCATTGAAAAAACTATGTTTCATCAATACACTAAGCTCCTTTCCACCACAACCTGCAAAATAATTATTAGAATGCTATGAAATTTTGACATATGTCGTTTGACAGAAATTATATGGGTCGTCAGAAATTATATGGGTGCACCATAAATGTGTCAGGCCGTAAGTTTATTGAGCGATATGTTAATGTTCGTTATTAAATCAATAAATTTTGATATATTTTTAAGTTGACTTTTTGAGAAAAAACCAAAATCAAACTGATTATAGTCATTGACTCCGAACAGAGAATGTTCGTACATGAATAACGCCAGTACAAATTAGTGATTCGAAAAAAGAAGACCAAGAAACAAGGCATTTTCAACAGGCATCAAAAGCGAACAGAATTAAAAATCGAAAATTGTGAACCTTCATTAAAAACATTTCACAAAATAGGGAAACACGAAAAAAAAATTGAAAGTAAATGAAGATCATTAAAATGAAGCAACAATATATTTTAGTTATATCAAAATTTAAAATTTAGAAAACTTTCAGAAGCAGAAAGTTTGCTTCATTTAAAAATGTTCGCTGTAAATTATATAAAAAGAAATAGTAAAGTTTTTAAAGTTATCAAAATGTCATCCTTGTCAAAAGAAGTAAATTATAACAAACAAAAACAAAATTCAACCTTTATTGTGCATGTTAATTTTAGTACAGTCAGATCATATAAATTTGTATGCCGAATAAGTGATTTAATAATTTTTACTAAATAAAGTTTTCGAAAAAAAATTAAATAAATAAAAATAAAAGAAATGGAGACACAGTTTCTCTGAAAGGAATAGTAAAATGGTATGTGTGAAAAAGTAGTTAAAAAAGTTGAAAAATTTCGATATGTTGTTGATCATCCCAACATTAATCGATGAATAAAATTGATATTGCATTAGTCGGTGTTCGATTACAACTGGATAGAAACTTTACTTTTGTATCTTGCTATTCTATCCCCCAGGCGTCTGATATTAGTATTTGCTGAAAGCGTTTTCATCTGTTCCATGAACTTCAATGTTAAGCAAGACTATTTTGATCTTATTTTCAGTTCTGGTTGTTATGACGAGGTGTTCGAGCTTGTATTTAAGTTATATTTGTGTGAATTGAATCATATTAGCAATTATTCAAAAAAATTATTTGAATTGAACTCTTCGCGTTCCTTCGTTTATTGTTCTAGTCTGATCTAGTGCAACTGCTTCGTTAAGAATTACAATTCACTTTCAGCTTTCATCAGAAACGCAAAGTTGCAATTTATCTTTCAGAAAACTACTTATGTCTGACTTTGTAGTGCCTTTTCTAATGTGTCTTATGATTTCGAATAAGATGACATTGCAGTTAGTTTGCCTATTTATTCGGTTCTATATTTTATCATTCTATCTATATCCGTCCAGACTGATTAAAAATATTATAAAAACTGACTTGCTAATTGGTTTTCCTTACTCTGGAGTAAAAAATAAGTTCAATGTTTTGAGTAACGGTGTAATGCATATATAAATAAAATAAAAAAACAGTCGAATCTGATATGTTTCTTCAAATTAATTAATTTAAGGCGGCTGGGTTTCCAGGTGGTGCAGATGGTATACCATTTTGCATTTTGAGTATTGTGGTAGTTTTCCATGCTCTTATTTAACTCCGGTCTTGGGAAACGATATTTCCTTGAGATGTGGAAAGAGTCCTTCCTGATTCTCCTTCGTGAGAACGGAGCAAGGAATAATGTCCAAAATTGTAGAAGATCGCTAAATTGATGACTCTTGCTGAATTATTTAAACATTTCTTAGGCGACAGATTTCTACCGTCGCATAGCGCTTATATTACTACCCACTCAACAATATTTTGTTAAAGGTAGGTTTATAATGGATCAACAAACTAATATTGTTCACACAGATTTCATTAAGCCTTTCGCTGAGTTTAATTAGAAACAAATTTTATATAAATTGTATTGTACCAATTTCCTAACTAATTTGGTTCCCTGGTTTAAGTCACATTTAATTGGCCGTACACAACGTATGTTGCTTAATTCTTATATTATGTCATATAAAAAGTCCTTGCGGTTTTCTCCGCGGGGTAGAGTTAATGCCTTTACATTGGGCAACACTCACCTGATTGTCTTAAGCGAACAAATACTTAAAATGTTACAATGCAGCTTACATTTTTCGTGAAGATAGTTTTCTAATTGTTTGGTCGTGTAAAAAGTTATATTGATTTGAAAATGGATAAAATATTTGAAGAAATATGCTATGTAATGATTTTTTACAATAAAAAAACATGAAAAACTTGCCGAAAAATTTATGAAATGTACGTGAGTGAACGAAGGACCCAAGATTTGCTCGATTCCGTTCCGAAAATTTTGCAAGTGCTGGAGCAAGACTGGCACGTAAGCTGGCTGTAATAAGGCAGGCACTAAACCTGAACCCCATGACAGTTTGGAAACATTTGAAAACAGCACGCTACAAAACGGAGCTCGAAACCGCCGAAAAAACCGCAAAGAGTTTTTATATGAGTCGTTACATCACGATCTACGCAAGTCACATCTTGTGTTCCGTAGGGCAGCAATTTGGATCCTCTACTCTTTGGTTATATGTTCACGACTTATAATCTTCTGTTTCCTCAATTTTCGAAAGCGCCAATCTTTGCATATGACGCCAAGTTATTTTACTCTTTTAACGTCTTTGAGGATGCTAGTATCTGTGTTTGACCTATGCAAGTTATATGTATGGTGTAAACATAATAACATGCCGTTTAGCTTGAAAAATAAAAACCAGTAATGTTTTGCAGAGGGTATAACGCATTAAAAAAAGCGTAAATTCCAACTGTCTGTTTGAACAAACGAATAATTAGAAACGGACTTCAACAATTTACTCAGGGCAACTAAACAGTGTCACTTCATTAAGATCAAAAGCTGAGTAGACGACAGTGCATGCCTTTGCTGAGCTAGCTGGTTCGGAAGATGTGGACGGGTTTGTTATTTTGTCTCTCACACACTCCTCTGTCGTTTACAACTGGAAGAATAGCATTCAAACTACCCTAGAGTAATTTTAATACATTCATCGTATAATCATGTTTTTTTGTAACATAAACCTTTATATAGAATTTAGGGTTAGCGTACCTTTGTATAATTTTTCGGTTGTTTATATATATATATGTATGAAGTGCTTTGCAATCAGTCACGGGTAGGGACGGTTATGATTATGATGATGTCCATATTGCTTATGTAACACAATATTTCATTTTAAAAATAAATAAAGTTATGCAATCAAAACTCAAATACCGACAATGACTGCAGCGCACTGAATTAAAAACAAGCGAGGAGAGAATATAAGGGTTGTTTGCTTATTGAATTGATATAAATTTACACCAAATTAAATGCAACATGCATTTCAAGCTTCGTTTTGTTAAAAATACCGATAACTTTCATTTTACTGGATATCGAAAATTTTTTTTCTATAGTTTCCATGACAAAGCAATAAAATATTTTTTTTTTTTTCGATTCCTTTTTTTTACACAAACCAATTACTACATGCTTTCTTCGATAATTATTCGGATTGTCTTAATTTTTCCATTTTGCACAAGTACAATTTTTACATGGTTAATAAAACTGGGCACTGGGAAAATATGTATAAATAATTTGTAACTTAATCATGGGTGATTCTTTAATGCATACTCTCTTTATTATTATTATTTTTTTTTTTCATAAAACTTCAGCAATTTCAGCAGATTATAAATTTTTATTGTTCTTATTTGTGCGAGCATGCATATTTTTGAAAGAATAAGGGTATTATATTGTTTATAAGAAAGCAATATATAAGATTGCACGATGCATTGATTTGTATTAATTACCTTTGACATTAATTGCCTTTGTATTAATTGTCTCAACACGGTTATTAATATGCTTGTATATATGTTTATTTGAAATTTATGGCACTTTTTCTCTTGTTTTTCTTGTTCAAATGCCCTTAGCAAACTATTAACATTTTATATTTTCTTTTTTTTTTCGACGTCCACGTCAATATGTTATACAATTAATATTTAAAAAAAGTTTTGTTTCATCAGGTGTTATGCTTGCTTTTGCTAAGAATTAAACCTTACTTATTTAACTCGATGATTCATCACAAAATTTATTGCCACCTACGTAAAAAAAAAGAAAATGCGCATGTTTTTTTACATTCAATTTCTTTACGTTTTCAATCAATTTTTTCTTTCTCATCCTTTGTTCTTCACGTCGAACTGTGCACGTCTTTCCGTTTCCATATGACGCACGGTTGCATTCTTAAGAAAAATTATTAAGCAGAAGCACACGTTACGGTGAGGATTTCATGGATTTGGGGGTTGCACTCGACCCTAAATTGAACTCTAATTTCCAGGTTCAATCGTCCGTTAATAAAACGCAAGCTCTACTGTGGTGTATTCAGGATTAGCCCAAATCTAATGACACTTACTTTGGCCATAGCCTAACAAATGGGCTAGCTGTGTATCTCACTTGTAAGGCCTACCTTGGAGGATTCAGTCATAGTATCGTCCCGAAACTGCCGGTGTTACGTTGGTGAAGCTGAGTGAGTGTAAAATTTTTTTGAAATTTGCTTTGCATAGCTTGGGATGAACCTTTATATTACCATTAACACCTTACGAGGGTCGTCTTAAGCTTGTACACATTCCAACTTTAAAAAGGAGTGTTATTCGCCATTTTTACTGGACGTGATAAATATTCGTATTCTGGCAGGCCGAAAAAAAAAGCGATACTTTAAATAATAAGTTTAGTTGTTCCTGCTGGTTGTAACTAAAGTTTGCTCTTCTTCTCGTTACAATTTGCTTTTCAGAGGTTGAATGGTTCCACGCTAGGAAAATGCATTGATTCATTTATAAACTGTGTCAAACAGTCCTCTAAGGCCGTAATCGCCTTCCGCGTGTGGATCGCATGGCCAAGCCACCGCTTGTTATGTATGTTGAAATCTCCAGTCACTTTGATGTCACTATGGGGCAATTTATATAGTAACATATAAAGATATTTAGTTAGATAGGGTATCAAAGCCGTTTGATGGCTAGTTAATTTTACCACTAGAGAAGTACATTTGGGATCCTGAATACTGTATTATTATGGAAAAAAATTCCATTGCATGTATACATCACAAGCCCTCTATATGATATGAAATTTGAGCCAAGTTGGACGTGTTGGACTTTGAAAGTACGTAGCTACAGAGGTTTGCTGGACCACCCACTATGTGCAGCCACAACGCGTGACTCACCGCGCAATTGGGGTTTAAATGAATTAGGGGAGAATTATTGGTTTCTTTTCGCTGTTATTATTATTGGTTTTGCTCCTCTAACTAGTGCTTGTGACGTCTTTAGGTCTTAAATAAATTTTTCTTCATCGTCCAGCCCAATACACATGCACAAACAAAATCCAATGAATGCTTTGTAACTAAGCACCTACATGGACGTATTGTGGGCATTGCATACCATGTCCGCCAGTTGACTTGTCACTTGTGTTGTGTGTTTCTATGTCACCCTCTCTTATTCATTATGTCGTTATCTGATCGCCTATATGCATCTAAACTTCATTTTGGCGTTACAAATCGTGCCTAGTCATATCGAAACAGTTACACTTATTTCTCTAAAACCATGTCATCTTCATTTTGTTTATTATTACAAAACAGTATTCAAAAGAAATGTGTCTACAAATAAAGACAATTAATTATCTTCTTTACGGAACTTCCGCGATAATAGATATAATAAGAATCAATAACAAATTTGAGTTTACCATTAGCGTTACCATTTTCTTAACATTTTTATTTTTAATATTTTTGTTGTTGAATGGATAAAAATCTCTGATAGGCCTGCCGTGGGGAATGCATTTCCTAGCTTACTAATAACATTTAATAGATACGCAAATATTCTAATTTCCTTTGCTTTAGTGAACTTTTATACATGGAAATATCATACAAGACCCCATTAAACAATTTTTCCCTTTATTAAAGCTATCCATAGTGCTCCAGCTGCAGACAACTATCAAGGATTAAAGACTCTTCTAAACCAAGGCAATTGCCTGACTGCGAGTTTGAAGCTGGACAGAGTTTTGTCTGATGCCGACTTGTGTGATCGCAAACCTTTGGGTTTTTGACCGAAAGCTTATCTGGGCAGATGCGATTTTACTTCTGACACTATTGAAAGATTTGGGGGGATCAATAAAAGTTTTCAGGGGGATGCTATTCCTATTAATATTTATTTAGAATGTGAAATAGTTGGTAGACTTGCAAAATGTTGGTAGATCTGAAACTAATTAGTAAAATTGTGTAGTAAAAATTTGAGTTTTTTACTAAAAATCAATTGCAATTGGTTACATTTGTGTTAGAGAATATTTTTATTATTGGGAGTGTTCAATGATCTAAAGACACCACATTAGTAACTACGACAACAAAATAAAAATCCACATGTTTTGCTTGAACTTAAAGCATATACTTCTTTCCTTGTTTGTGAACTATTTGGTCTTCATTAGCGTACTTATTAATCATTATCAAAAATGTCAAAATTTGAAGAAATAGTGAATTTCGGCTTCCCAAATAACATTTTAAGCAATATTCCACGTGTTACTGTAAAGAAAGGATCACGCGTTTGCTTTTGTCAATTGGGAACCCAATTTTTTACAGCTGGATTTACTTTTGGTATCACCAAATATGATACCCTAGTCAGTTCTGTTGAAAACGATGTTCTTAACGCAATAAGTCATTATTGAAAATCCAATGATTGAAAATTTATGCCAAGCTTTAAAACACGCATCATTAACACGTTCGCGGACATTTAAAATTTCAGGGGGCTGCGAAATTAGACAGGCAATTATTTTTGAAACTAGTTGTAATATCCAAAATCTGATTATACATATAATTGAAAATTGTAAATACACGGAGAAAAATAAAAAAAATAAGAATGTACTTAATGAATCAATTGGTCATTATCTTGAAATGTATATTAATTACAAAAACTTAAGGTTAAATGAAATTAAATGAACAAAAATTGCCTTTAAAATTTGAATGCTGTAGCATTCACGTCATTTTGCATCACTATGAAAATGAATGCTATAGCATTCACGTCCGCGAACGTGTTAAGGGATTTTGAATGTTCCGAAGAAGAACATCTGTAAAAATTACTAGAAAATGGTGATCTTGATGATAGAAGACCTTCAGCATTTTTACGTAAATTTCCTTAACCTATGTCATATGATCTGCTAAAATCTTTATGCTTTCAAAGCTTACCGTTAACGATTGATCATCTTGTCAATCAGCTCAGACAGCTTAAACAAAGTCGCGGTTATGGCAGACAACAATAACGACTAATTACATTGTCAGTAAGCACAGTGATCTCGCCAAATTCGCATGAAATGCGTTGTAATATCCAGGCCCAAATTACTGAGTTGTCCAAACGAACCTCCAAGACCGCATACAAAGTGGCTCGTGGCTGAAACGAAGGGACTTTTCGTTCACTGTAAACCGCGCAGATTACCTCCTGAAAAACTTTAAGTTGTCAAAGAGAATTTAGTTATGTTATGCAGTTGGGTGTATGTTGTCAAAAAGAAAAACAATAAAGCAAAAGTTTTTTGAATAGATCAATTAAGAAACGCGTTCGACGGTTGCAAAAAGCAACTTATCGACATTTCACTTCTACCATATTTGGTCGAAGGATCGCCGCTATCGCATTGGATTCGGTATGGGAGCAGTTTTACAACCATATGCCACCGAGTACCGAGTATCTTGCATATTTTGTCAAACCAAAACGCCAATTGGTAACGTAGAGATCCCTGAAGAACTTTCTAAACACATAAACATCGATATAATTCATCGATATTCCTTCTTCAAAACATTATAGGCATTGTCTTAAATGTATTGACAGATTCACAAGATGGCCGGAAACCATACGTTTGAAAGACTATTGCAGAGGTAGCAGCTAAGGATTTCTGTCATGGCTGCATTTCTAGTCTTGATGTATCCACCCAAATTATAACTGATCAAGGCGGATAGTTTCAATCAATTCTATTCCAAGAATTCGCCAAAGAGCTTGGTTCTAAATGCGTCCATAGAGCATCTTATCACCTTCAAAGAGAGGGCTGAAATGAAAGACCCATCGAACTTTAAAAAATGCGATTAAATGTCACATTGCAACAAAATGGACAGATGTTTTATCACTATTACTATTGGGACTTCGCAATCTAATAAACGCTGATACTGCTTTGGTGTGTCCCTCGAGCCATGACAACATGTTCCTATCTGCTTTGAACCACTGATTCCATGTTGAAGCCTTATACTCACTCTTACAAACTTATTAAACGGGCGGATAAAACGTTTGTAATTATAGTAAACGGCTCAGAAGAAACAGTATTGGCAAATAGATTAAAACCAGCGAAAATGGTCCAAAATCGTTCGTCTCATCCGCGGAAATACATGTTTTAAGCTAAGTTGAGATCGTAGAGAGGGTATTGTAATTGTATTAATAATATTTCTAACATTGATGCTAACCCTGTCAAGGCATGTTTAGAATGTAAATAAGTTGCTGGGCCTGCAAAATATTCGCATATCTGGAATTAATTAATAGGTTTTTGCAGCAAAAATTCGGATTTCTAACTAAAAATAAATTGCGATCCCTTACGTCCTTATTACGGAATATTTTTATCATAGTGATTGCTTGTGTATCAGCTTTAGACAAACAAGGACTTAACGACACCACAAGATTATAGTAAAAGAAATTGACTAAAAGTTTAAACGTCTCCTTTATTGATTCTAGTATCAAAATATAAAGAACTGATCAAAGTTGGGACGATATTTAGCAAGTATCGAATTTTTCAAATCCTGTTGCGTTAAACTCAACAAACGAGGGTGATGCGGCCATTCAAAACCTCTTTACTTCTGAAGCATTATTGTATAAAAGTATTATATGAAAGAAATTAACTCTTGAGGTCGGAAGCTTGAAAACGCAGCTGAATCAATGCTATTCTAGATTTAGATCTCGTTCCTACGATAGATCTTGATCAAAAAATAAGCCTACTTGGCTTTGCGTATACTACCATATTTTTGCAGGCAAAGCCAGAAAATGCAAACATGCCGTGTGGAAAGAACGCTTAGTTACGACGGTTATGAAACTATTAAGTATCCATAACGTTTTAGTATTTGACGGGGACAATAAGTAAAATTTTTTAAATGATAGTGTTGCAGAAGTTTCTGTTCTGCCATTATCCTCTTTTCCAAATAAAAAGAAATCGTCCCATATCATTTTAAAAGCAGCCAACAGCCCAATCACCAGCTTATTGCATCTTCGCCGCGAGCTTCCGTTCATTTTCTTGTTTTGATTATTGACATCTCCAAACCAATTATTGAGGTTGATTTCTGCAGCAATTGCGGTGTTCTAATTGATGCACAAGTGCTTAGTAGACCCACTAACTCAAATATTTGTTAACGCCATAGCGGCTGAATACAAAATATGTTAGACATAACATTGCTTTTAATAGAAAATAAATTTTTATGACTATTATGGAGCTACTTGAACTTAGCCGCAAAAATGGATTACACCAAGCCGGGAAAACATACGGCAATGCGTTTGCTAAGGACTGAAGATCCAGAGATTTCATACGATCTCGATTCTCGATCGATATGAAACTTTAAAAAAGCATGTCTTCCTAAATCATCAAATTTCGACGGATGAAAAGCACATTTGTAAAAATCTATCATAGCGCCATTCGGTATAATCGAATTCTCAAAAATACCTTTTCAGTTGCGGAATCCAGAGCAGGTGCTCCAGAGATTTGTCAATGGAGTGTTCAGAGGCCTAGGCTTAATTTCTGCATACATTGACATGTTCTGGTTGTAAAAAATTTAGAACATTTAACATTAATATACAATCGGCTTGATGAGTATGGCTTAAACATTAAACCTAATACGTCCACTTTCAGAGTTTGAAGCATGGATTTTCTCGGTCACAATACTTTCAAGCCTTTTAAGAACAAGATAGCTGCCATTAAGGAGGTTCAAAATTCATTAAAAGAGTTTAGAACTTTGTAGGAATGATCAATTTTGACCACGGATATATTCCTAAGTTAGCAGATCTGAATTATCCGATGCACGATATAATTAATAAGTATATATGGGATGAACAGGGCCTCAAATCTTTTGATCTTATTAAGGAGATATTCTACTGAAAATTTTGTTAAATCATTTAAGCAATGAGGTAGATTTATCTTTAGCGGTTAATGCTTCAAATATTGCAGTATATAGCGTACTGAAACATTCCGTGAATGAGATTATTGGGTTCCCATCTACATATGGTACATTTGATCACTTGCTGTGAGCGACCTTTGTTGGTGACAAAGGTTTCAGACATATTTTGGAACATAGAAAATTTTCCGGTTTTGCCGATCATGAATCGGTAACAACGGCTTCAAAATCTAAAAGAGATAGAAATCTCTGATAGGCCTGTCGAAGGGAATGCATTTCCTCGCTTACTAATAACATTTAATAGATACGCAGAGGCACCAATGTTGCGCCATATACATTTTCGCCAGCTTTTCAAGTCCATGGTCTAAAATGTGTGGTTTGAAATCTAAAAGTACTCTTTAATGAGCAAAATGTTGATAACATGGCTATTATTTCAAGGGAATCTCAAAAACGAGTGGCGTTGGCATTTCTAAATAATTACGATCCACGTTTTGAATTTTTCCTGAGGGAACTGACGAACGGGGAACACAGTTTTCGTTACAGTTATTCGGTAGTCACAGAATTAACATCTGCCCGTATCATGCACGGGCTGATGGCGTAGCAGAATGCTTTCTTAGGCGATTGAAAGGAGTACTACTACTAGGCATAATCCAACAAAATGGATTGACGAGCTTCCGATGGAATTTTTGGGGTTGAGATCTGTTAGCAAAGAAAATATACCAGCGAGACCCGTTAGCATAGCGCAATATTGGCTACAACATACCATACGAATAATTCAAAACCTTTGAGCAACATCAGCAAATATTTTCAAACCATTTAGTCGGGCATTATCCATCGTACAGATTCGGAAGCTAAAGTTTATTTTCCCAAGCCATGCAAAGATTGAAGGTTTGTTTTTGCCCTCCATACTAACATAAAGAGTCTTCAACAACTGTATGATAGCCCATTTACAATCATTTCAAAAGAACCTAAACTTGTTAAAGTTAAAATTGGCACTGCAATCAAACCTTTTGAAACAGGCTATGGTTAAAGAGCCAGTCGCACAAAATGCTCACACTAATACTAAACTAAAGAAATACGCCACTTTTAGCTTCTCCAATATTTCTACCGAAGATTTGTAGTGTAGGGTGTTACAGGTTGTTTGTTAGTTTTTTATATTCTGTAAACAATAATCTTATATGTTGTCCGTTATTAATTCATGCATTCATTAATTTGATTACAGTCACTGATTCCATAGAAAGCAGAATGTCCACGTTTTAAATAATACTGCTAAAGTATTCTCCCTCTGTGATCCAAATTTTACTTTTCCGTAAGATCTGGTGCGAAGTTCACCAAACTTATATAAAACAACGGCGGACTTTACCACCGATGCGTCCTTTTTGGGTTTTGCGTAAATATGCCTTTCAATAATATATTTGGTCACAAGTAATATATTTCATCTCGCTTTCTGTATATAGAAACACCGAGAATACCGGGTATATTCGGTTTGTCAAAACGTTTGCAACGCCCAGGAGGCTTCAGAGACCCGGCAAAGTATAAATATTTTTGATCAGCATCAAATTCTGAATCGATGTAATCATGTTCGTCTGTGTAACGTCTGCGTAATTGGCTTCAAATTTGTTTTTGTACGTAAGTTTATATTGGAAATGCACTACGTAAAGTAAGGACACCTCTGCTTTTCATTTTGTTTGCTCATTACTCATAAACTATAATAGATAAATCTACAAAAATTTAAATGTATACTCTATGGGCGATGTTTTAGTACCTCTACAAAAATGGGAAGATCTTTATAGTGCAGAGAAACAAGCTTCAGAAACCCTATTAAGTATATACATTCTTTGTCAGTTTCAAATTCAGAATGCACCTAAATATATCCGCTCTTCATCTGGCCATCTGTCCGTCTGCGTAACCATGTAGTGGTAAACATTCTTACAAAAACGAGGTTATCGCCTACAAACTGGCTGAAGAATTTGAAATGGGGTCAAGCTTTCGATGCCGTGATGGGTGTAAAAGATTCGGCCATGGCCAAATATAATTTTCTTACTTGTTTCTTATAAATCCAACCGTTTTTTTTCCGAATTGTATCGTTTATGGTTTCATTTTTTATTTCGTTTAATACGTCAAAACTTGTTACTATATTTTCTTTAAGAGGGGACTCAGAGTGCATCAGCTGTAAAAAAGTATTTACCAGGCTCGTATATGACATTTAAGGCATAACATTGTAAGAATAAAATAAATTTCTGCGATCTTGAAGGTATTTTATATAAAAGTTTGCCAAATGCAGTAACAAGTGGTTTATGATCTCTTTCCGCAAAAATTTTTTGGTTAAATATAGTGCAATCTGGCGAATAATTTTTTTTCATATGAGAACATAAGTTTGAAATAAATGATTCTAAAGAATTAACCACTCCTAAAGAGCATTGTAACTCTTTAGTATTGGCAAAAGTTCGCATTTGAAATACGGCTTTATATTTTTTCGAGTCCAGTCTTACGCCGTTGTCATTAAAAATGTATCCTAAAAATGATATCAACTTTTTAAACAACTTTGATTTGTTTTTATTGAATTTCAAACCGTTTTCCTTCGCATGTAGTAAGAGCAGTTCCAATATTTGTCATGTTGGATTTAATTACGCGCATGTCGTCTATATAAATTATTAATCGTTCTGTAAACTCAAAAATTTTAATAATTTTGGTATGAAATATCTCGGGCGCGATGTTAATGTAGATAGGTAATCTTAAGAACCGATATTTTCCGAAGAGTGTTTATACCCTCTATATTTAACAATGTATATACTTTAAAGGGGTAAGGGAACCAACCCAAACCCACTATTGATATCTGAAGAGCTTCGCATTACTTGGCTTTACAATTTTGTACGTTGGCAAATGGGTAGTGTTCTCTACATATTGCTTTATTTGGCGGCCAGGAATCCAAACACATATGTTATTGGTCATTAGTTTTTTCTACTAAAATTACAGAGTTGACCCAGTCGCTTCAATCTTCTATCGGTGTTATCATATATCCATTCTTTGTAACTCCATTTTTAGCTCTCCCTGCAAAAGAAATGGTATTTCACGAGGTGCTTCAACAACAATTCATACACTTGGTTTTAATATCAATGGACATTTGGTTTTTAAAAGTCCTATCCTAGTAAACACTTCTGAATATGCTTTAATAACTGTGTTGCGGTAGAGAGTATTTACGTGTTTAAAGAATTACATATTGATTGTTTCAAGACCGCAATCCAAGGAAAAAGCCATTTACAAAACTCCACGAAATAATTATATAAATTTTTGGAAAAATGTTATTTTTAGCGACGAGTCTGAGTTTAATATATTCGGAAACGATGATAAACAAAGAGTAAACAAGGAAGTATTTTGCCAACTGTAAAGCATGATGGAGCATCTGTCATGGTTTGGGGATGCATGTCTATGAATTGTTTTGAAAATCGTTGGCTCTTAAAACATATCAAAAAATATTGGTCGTAAGTTCAATCCTTACGTGCGGTAGTGTTTTCAACAAAGCTGACAGTCTTAGATGCTAGCGCTTTAAGACTTTAGTCATGGAATTTGCTTCTCTGGCTAAACTAATAATAATAATATTTTATTAATAACTTTATTATAACTCTTTTGACACCATTTTGAGTAGACGTAAAGAACAAGCTTATGGGAAAGTGATTATACAGCGGATGGACAATCAAAACGAGCTTTGCTAAAAAAGTTCATCGTACTAGAATAAGTGTTTTTTTTTATATTTATCATTTCCATTTTCGCGCTGTTAATTAACATGTCACAGGGCTGAGCGAAGTTAACAGGTTAAGTTGAAAAAATTTCGTAAATACTATCACAATTCCAACATTCTGATAACTCTCTTTATCTTGTCCAAGTATCGGATGATAAATGGAGGAAATGGTCAAAAATTAATGGATGAGTTCTTTCCTTTTGATTGTTTGAAAATTCTTGACTGCCTTTGGTTATTGAGTTTCTTTAACAAAAACAATACATTGACATAATTTATATTTCGATTTTCTATTTGCGAATAATAACAAAACTGCGTAACAATCAGTCTTAAGAATTATTGAACTATAGAGGTAAGCATTTACGAATAATAATTTTTAGAAAATATAAGGAAAACTAGTGTGCACAATATTATGTTGAGTAAACACTAGACATAAATCTGTTCAGAAGGAACTTGTGGGACGACGTCAAACTAGTTGCAACATCGGAATAGGGATATTTCGTCTCCCACAATATGTATATATATTGTGATGCAGGGTACACTAAATTTGTACGGACGTATGTAACATCTAGAAACGCTTAAGATAAACCGAACTTTTATTATACCGATCGATTCCGAGTCATTTTCTAATCCGATATAAATCTGTCTGTCCGTCTGTTCATGTTTTCTTCTGTTCAAGCTGCAAGTCGCAATTTTTGAGATATTTTGATGATCTTGACCTAAACACGAAAGCTGTTCAAAATGGCTTCGATCGGTCCACTTTTGCGGCCACTCCCCATGCAACATCCTATTCTGAAAAGTCGCCATTTGGAAAAAAATTGCAATCTTCAAAAATTTTCGGCAAAAGTGCAGTAGTGGTAACGGCATTGGTACGAATACTTTCGACCGGCTGGGACAATTTTTTGAACCGCCACTCATATAAGCGTTCCTACGAAAACTGAATCTTTATAGAGTAAAAATGTCAAATCTCCAACATTTTGAGGTGAAAATTGGCTCATTGACAAAGAAATATACCTTACCGAATTTGAACTATATAGGTCTATTTTTTGGTTGCCGCGGCATATAAAGATTCTGATGAAACTTAAACCCTTATATGTCAAAAAGGCCTCATTGTTAATTTTTGAAGAAAATTAGTTCATGACAATAAGGCAGTAAAAAAATTAAGTGGGCCTAATTTTAACAACATGGGTTTATTTCTATTTCCATATAAAATATCTCATGAGTAGTAGGCGCTTTGAAAAAAGGCTTAATTTTTAATATTTTATGATAACAATTAATTCATAGTAGCATTTCAGCAAAAAATTTAGCGGTAGGGAGTTCCGATCACAAATGTCTATTTTTTTGGACCCCAATATATATAGACGCTATCACGAAACGCCAACTGTTATATGGAGACAAAATCTAACAGTCGGCATTGCGGGACTATAATCTTCTTACTTGATTTGATACATAAAGGAGGGATCAGGTCCGTAAATTGTAAAACTTATATATATACCAGTAACGTTTAGAATTTTTGAAACAAATTCTTTAGAGCTTCAAGTTGATAATAGCGAAAAAGATGACAACAGAGAAAAATGATGATTATTATTGATTTATTAATGATTCAATGATGTTAACCTGTCTTGATTAGTAATTATTCAAGTTGTAATAGTCCATTCAGTACTGTCCGTGATGAAGTTAAGTCCCGCAGATAGATATCAGGCTATGCCTGTATAGGAATTATTGATTTTTGGATTCATAAAATTTGCGAAAATACTATTAAACAAGACAAAAAGTTTAAAGAAATATATCATACAGATTACTATACCGAAAATCTCAAACGAATGTCTAGTGTTGTTGAAGTTACTGCATCTAAAAACAGGATGCTCATCTGATTCTTTTGTGTGACGCTCATCACATATATCATATGACATCAGGCCAACAATATATGTTTACATGCACTAATTCGTAGCAATTCGTACAAGCACATGGATTTTCTTCGTCATTTTATATAAATAGATATTAAATTTTAAACCAATATCTGCTATGGATTGTTCAATATCTTTTTTCTTTTGTAGCCATTATTCCATTTGCGTCAAGATGGTTTTCGCTACTTCTTTTACTATCAGGCAGAGTATACTTCAAAATTCAACTATTTATCAAGTTTTTGCAACAGTGAATCCGTCCACAATGAACAAACGAAAAAGTGATGCTCGGGCAGGCGAAATGAAATCAACTAGTGTGATACGCCGATAAAAAAAATAATAACTTATCAATTTACTGGTGCGTACGTCGACTGCTACAAATGAAAGGGCAAAATCAAGCTGCTCTCTTTCTCCTACCTGAGTAAAAAATGCTGAATTTGTATATACTGCGGAGACCCATGCTGTTTTCACTCTGGTCTCACTTGCCAAATCCTCAGGGGTGCCCATGAAAAATTTGTATTTTTCACTTCTGATAAGCGACTAGTATTTCCGATAAAACGAGAGATTTGGTCAATATATTATGAGGGTTATAGGATAAAAACCGGATGTAAGGTATAAATAATTTGGCTTCCGTACACATTGATAAAGACCTAATAAGTTGTTGGTCGAGATCCTTTGCTTATTCAGCCACTCAGGCAGATAAAGACATATAATACAACATATATAAAAACAATAAGACAATATTTCTTGGTTTTGCATACTATTTTATTACGCTAGCTAAAATTCGTTAAACTTGTTATTTTGTTGGATATTATTTTGCCCTTTACGACTTCACTTAACGCTCTATTCACGTATAATAGATTTCGTCCGTCACACATATTTCCCGATGCGTTGAGTGCCAAAGAAAAAGGAGTAGATTTACATTAAGTGGACATGTTTTGATTTTTTTCATGGTTGGTCATTTCCATATCACCTTCGAAGCCTAGCGGTTTTCCTTAGTATTCGCATTTAAAGTGTTTTCATAAATTCATCCTAACCTTACTGTTTGACAGGTATTTTTTTATTTTAGAAAAGAAATCTATAACAATATTTGTGCAGAATAACTCAATATTTTTATGAATTCTTATCAACATATCAAATGTAGTTAGAATCTAACATTACAATTAAAAACAAATCATAATACAATGCATCTTTAAAATTAACAGTATCGTTAAATATCTGCGTTTCCATAAATCTGAAAATACTAAACATCTATTGGAATGTTATCTTCAGTGTCTTTATTATTAAGTATATTATTTTCTTCCGACGAGTTTGAATTGCTAGTCGATAAGTAATTCCATTTTTGAATTGTCGCTGTTCCGTAAATTTGATAAATACTATAGGTGACAATGGCTATTACTGATGATGTTCCAAATAGTATTCTCCACTCCTCAATAGAACCCTAAAATTAACCAAATATATGTGAATTCGAAAGTAAATATTGTAAAATTAATAACATTTTTTGTCAAACATCTACTTTTCGCTTATTTTCGTTATTGACTATCAAATGTGAGAACTCTTTGTGGCAAATTGACCTTTATAATAGAAAGGACGCACAAATTAACCTACGTGATTCAAATTTAGCAGTTACTTTTCTTTTTCATGGATATATTTATCATAACCTATTTTCGTCATCAATTATAAAAAATCAAAACGTTTTGCCGTGGAAGGGCTTAGTATTTATAAACTATACGCGGAGGTCCTAAAATGGACTTACATAATCTAAATTTAATATACCTACTTTTTTTTTCAAGAACTTCTTATTCTCCATATACATTCATCCTAAAGTACCAAAAATTATTCGTTGTTGGTGAGAATTAGTGCTTATCGCTTTGCTTTTACATTGTAAGGAAGCGTTTTTGCTTCCTTACGGAATACAAGTCCCTCCGCCTAAAACAATTACTCACAGCGAACCACCTGTCAGTCCGAGCGGTCCGTAAACGTCTGATTGAATTAAGTAAACATGAGCAACCTCCTCCAGCAAAATATATACACAACCGCATAAGTGCAAAATAGGTATAAGATCGCTAAAATGAAAAAAAACATGTATGAAATGGCTCCAAGGCATAGAATATGTAACACAGGCACGAGCAAAATAGGTATAAGATCGTTAGAATGAATAAAACTTGTATGAAACGGCTCTTAGGGATAGAACATGTAAAATCATATAACACAGGCACAAGTCGAACTTAGGTATAAAATCATATGAAATATGTAAAATATATAAACACCCGCACAAGTATAAAAATACTTTAAATCGTAGAAGCACACAAGAGAAACGCTTACATATTATGCATTACTATACAAACGCCATTAGGTCATATAAGCACGTAGAAACTCTTATGCTTCACAATGCATAAGCACACACGCTCATGCACACGCATAGACCAAAGAATCACACATAACACTGTGTATTACTGTTAGGCTACAGCAACAAGCAGAAATCTGTATACGTTAAACTGTATAAGCACAGCCTGTAGAAACGCGTACATATCATGCATTACTGTATGAACCCCGTTAGGGTATATAATCAGGTAGAAACCCTTATGCTCTACATACACGATCATGCAAAACGTATAGACGATAGAATCACACATAGCAATGCTTACCAATATACAGATACTCGTACGCGCAAAATGTACAAACACACACACAATATTACACAAAATGCATAAACGCCGTCAGGCCATATAAAACCTTTAACATGTATAGGCACATGCGATCAAAAAAAAAAAGAAGAAATATGAGAAAAAAAGAAGAAAAACAAAAAGCGCATAAAACTATAGAAGCAATGTATAAGCGTATTCTACTTAAATATAAAACCATAGAAACGTTCGCGAAGTATTGTACAGCTAAGATGAGAAGCATAAAGAAAGAAGAAGAGCCATGTTGTTAGTTAGCCGTAAGCTACGTATAAGTACGTTATGCAAGTCGTAACTAAGGCTGCGACAGCTACCAACCTAAATTAAGCATACCACAATAGACATGTAAATGCATACAGCCGACAGGTTGCAATGGAACAAGCGAGCGCGACGTCCGCTATAAAACAGCGACTCATCACACAGAATCTTTCAATTTGGTGCCATAGCTGCCTGAGGTAAGTGCCAGAGGACTATTTGACTCACTGACTCTTATTAATAGTTTGTAGTGACTTACGGATAGAGGATGTGACGGTTAGTATTAATCGCCATCCCTGAACAACAAATAGTACAGTGACTTACGGATAGGGCATGTGACGGTTAGTATTAATCGCCATTCCTGAATAACGAATAATACGATGACTTATGGATAGGGGATGGGACGGTTAGTATTAATCGCCATCCCTGAATGACCAATCAGTCCTCCCTTTCCCTGACCTAAGTTAACCAGAGACAGTGAGGGACAGGCTAGCGCACCAGAGAGCCAAGGCAGCTACGGCACTGGCAACGTTCCTGTTTCTTTTTCTGTAGCGCTCCGCGGTAATCCAAAGGACAAATAACAATAGATAACTCTCTCACCACGTATAAGCCACACCAGAAGTCGGGTCGCCTCCCTGGTTCCTTTTTCCTAGCCAGCCTCTACACAACGCTGTGCCCCGCTTAATATACCATAAAGGGAATTTTAAAGCATCCCACCGAAGGTTCAGAACATTTTGTTCTAAATAAAGATTCTTGCAACGAACCCCGGATTGACTGAGTTCCACCCCGGTTAAGAAGACTCGTTACAACGTTTAAGGGAGACGGCCTAAAAAATAGACCAATGTTTTTTATATAACGAAATGTTTAATGTAACAATCGTTCAAAATAAATCATTATATAATAGGTGATCGTAAAAATAATTCAATCAATACATTTTTCACAACATATGTCGTTGGATTAAAGCATGGCGGTACTTTATAATAAATCAAGCTCGCAACAATTGTACAAAAATTTTTTAAACAGTTTTTAATCATATAAACAGAAGTGAATTAAAAATTGTGCAAATTATAAAGCAAATCCGAAATCCCTTTACATGGTCATATACCCGCAAAAAAAAAAAACAAAAACGAATTCGTGAAAGCATTAAGAGAATACTTTATACGAAGGAAAAGTTCTGTGTAAGAGAGATCTCTGTAGGTTGAATGCAAAATAAGCACAGAACCTGCCATCAGAGTTAATACTGGAAGACTCCGAAAAAGAAAACCACCAACTAGAATGATAACAACAACAACATAACAAGAATAAGTATAACAATAACGGTGACAATCTCAACATCATCACCATTAATCATAACAACTACAATAGAAAACACAGCAACAGTAACAAGATTGAAATTGCAACAAATATAAGAGGGCAATGGGCAATGGTAACAATAATAATAACAGTGTTACCACTAACAGCATTACCAAAAACAACAAAGTAGAAGAACAAGCACATTGATGATGGCATCACAACTGCAGCAGTAACAACAACAACAAAAATCTAAGACTACGGGTACAATGACAATAGCAGTAATAAAAGTGTCACCACTATCAATGCGAGCTTCATAAGGAATAAATGTTACAACAACGGCAACAACAGTAGCAGCAACAAGAACGTTCCCAAACACGACAACAATAATAATGTTAACAGAATGTAATGTTTTGGTACATTAGTATAGGGATATTGTCAGCTGTGTTTACCATTGTCCATAACAAAAACGGACAATGACCTATAAGATAACGGATCACTACTAATCAAACCTCTATTTGTAATTCTCTTTCTTAGTTAGAAATTTTTAATAACTAAAAGAAAAGAATTATAAAAGCGGGAAATGTCTAAAGTCCGTCTGCATAACAAGGATGAGTTTTGCTTCAGGCAATATGCTTATTTATACATATACCATATCATATCATATCATTATTATCATATTATTTAAATCTCGAAAAGTGCTTATTGTAAAATGAATTGTAAAAAATCAAAAAGAATAGGAAAGGAAACAACTTTCCCAAAACAAAAAAAAGTTGAAGTTAAGGTAAAAACCACATTAAAAATTGGCTGCAAAATTAAGCTGAAATTATGTTAAGTTATAAAATATGTAAAAATTCAATTGGAATATAGCACTTAAAGATACATTTAAACCTACATAGTAACTAGTATTAAAAATATATTAAAATATATCCCAAACCTAGTGTCAAAAATAAGAATAAAATATTATTATAATATATTTAGCTACAAAAATAAGTTCTAAGAGTAAATCGGCAAGCACTAGCATCTAAAGGCTATTGGCTTTATTGAAACCTCAACCGCACTTGAGATTTGAATCCACGGCCCTTAAGTTGTTAGTCGAAATGCCTTGCCCACCCAGTCGCACTTTGATTTTAGATTTTGAATTTGAATGTACATTTTATACATATATATATATCTTATATATATATATACATTTTTTTTTCTTTAATATGACTGATCACTCAGGGGATGTCCTGCAGTCGGGGAACACAGTGAGGGACAGAAAGAAATAAAGAAAGATAAAAAAATAGGGAGACGGCCAGTATTATCTAGGAGGTAAGTATTATGCGTTTACTGAACATTCACTACAGCCGTAGCGACACTTTTCTTGCACTTTATGATAAAACTATTAACTTTTATAAGCTTAATTTAGATAATAAAATTCAACCCATACAATTCTCACCGTTTTCTTAACATTTTCATCCTTAATATTTCTGTTGTTGAATGGTTAATTGTTTTAGAAGTTTTATTTTTGAATTTTAAGATGCACCGCTTACATAGCAGTCCTTGTTCTGAAGTTGCTGCTACAACAAGTATACATTGCAAATATTATTTCTTATAATATGCACTTCTTCTCCAATTATAAAATGATTAACGCTGCAATTCATTTCTAAAAATGGCACATAAGACACCACCAAACGGAACATATGCCGGCTGCGATCAAACTGTCTCGTGATATACGCTCACACACGCACTTTGCAAAACTCAATAAATTCTTTAGCTAATTTAATTGGAAACATTGTTTTATAACCGACAACGTTAGCGTCACTGCACAAATGATGCAAAACACTATCATAAATGAAAAGCGGCCTCTCATTCCATTGAAGAAACTTTTGAATAAACCAAAAGGCGTTCGTTCGTTTAATAGGACTTGCAAAAATTCAGTCAAGTCTGAGGAAAAGCATTTAAAAGTTTGCGCTTCTATCCAAACGACCAAAGCAACTTGCTAAGTGCACAGCTTTTTCGCCGCGAAAAAGCAGTGCACATGCAGCAATTACCTGTCCAAGTTCTTGCCGCATCAAGAGGCAGCAACAGCTTTTGGTCGTTCGTTGAGAGTATTGTAATCTGATTTAAATGACCATGATGTAACTCATCAGAGTCGGTTGACAAAGTTTAAGTGATACCTAAAATGTTTACTTCGCATTCCTAGTACCCATGGAGCAATCAACCATTAGCA